TTTTTTTGGGTGATCACAACTGTCTATATTCTTCTCTCAACTTCTGTTTTTGTTTACCTTCCACTACCTACTCCTAAGACTATCTAGAGGGGACCCCTGCAAGCATAGTTTTCCTCTCTTTGTGAAGGGGGGATTTCATGTTGCCCGTTGCCCCTAATGGTTAGGGTATAAGGTTGGGGCCGCCAGTGGGGGTCTGGCTAACACAAAGACCGAGACTTGCCAGTAGCTGTGCCTCCCTTTCTCATCGTCCCCCACCCTTCATCGAGTAGCAGCAGAGGCTATGGCCAACACTCTCCCACACACCACGCACAACACACTCGCGCTCACACTCACACCCGTGTTGGTCATAGACCCCGCTAATACCGATCAGGGGTATCCAGAGGACTATCACAGTCCGTTGGCACTAAGTGCGCCGCAGGCGGCCATGGGGCTTGAACCCACAACCTCCTGAATGCCACTTGCATGCCTAACCAACTGAGCTAGGCGGCTGGATGTTCTATTCTTTTTTGAAAGAACCAAAGATAGGCTTGCCATAAAAAAAAACCCTTAATAAAAAGATTCCTCATTGCGAATAGCACCGCATCCTCTAGATCACCATCAAGATAGCAAGCCAGGTTGTTTTGAATAAGGGTCAGATCCCACTACCCTGGATTATTCATTTTTCACCCTCGATTACGAAGATCAACGGTCAGAAATGAACAATAGGGGCTAGTGGGATCTGGCCCTAAGTTGATTTGGAAGGGCGTCCACTGCGGAGGGTAGTCAGTCCCCCTTCCCAGCAGCTGATATTCAGTACCCCTTCCCATCAGCTGATATTCAGTACCCCTTCCCATCAGCTGATATCCCAGGGGAACTCAGCAGATGATATCCCAGGGGAAATGAGCCATCTTGGTTTTGTAGCGAAATAGTTGGGAAAGGAACTGCTGTTGGAGTGGGTAGCTGTATTTACACAGTATTTTTATTCCTTGCTTTTCGTTTTCGTTTTTTTTTCCAATAGGGCAGCCGCAAGCATTATTGTACCAATCTGTCTGATCAGATCAGGATTCGAAGTGGCGATCTGCTTTCTAACAGTTACATCTATCTATCTATGTTTATTGAGCGGCATGGCATAGTGTTTTTGTTAGGGTATAGTGAAAAGAGACGGATTTCGGGCCGGGCAGCGCGGAGGTCGGAGGAGCTGGTGGGAGTGGGAGAGGTGAAGGAGCCCCCCGGCGAGGCTTGGGAATACGTTCCGCGAAAAGTAGGTAATTTGCTGCACATGCACCTCGAGACAGACGTAAGAGGGGACGAGCTAAGCCGATCGCTCGACCCCTTGGTGAAGGTTGGCCTCGGCGGGAGAGAAGATGTGTTGGCGCGTGACGGGGCCTGCGTCTACATCCCCAGTAAGTAATTTTTGTTCGTGTACCCCCCTTTCCCGCCTTTTGTTTTTCGCCCTCGTTTTTTTTTTGTTTTTCCTCAGGCCCCGTCGTCGTCCTTTCTTCCCGACTCACGCCACTCTGTTCTCTCTCCTTCCTTTCTTCCCGGCTCACGCAACTTTCCCTGTCGTTCTTCCTTTTTGCCTTCGCCTTGAGGCCCTTCTTCCACTCATGTCCAACTTACGGTACGCCACTCTCTTGCAGTACAGGAATCCATTTCCACCCGAAGGCGTTTTATCGGTCCTTTATGTTTATCCCACGTCTCCCGTCCTCGTCCTTGCCTCTGCTGGATGGACTCTCCGACTCGTTTTTGTTATGAAAGCTGTGACATCTCTTGCTGTTCTCTCCGTCCTTCGCTGCTTACGGGATTTCCCTGCCGTTCTTCCTTTTGCCGTCGCGTTGCCATCTTGCCGGCCTTACAGTACGACATAACTCTCATGTCCAACCTTCTGTCCTCTCTCTCCTCACGGGATGTCACTCCTCCGGAAATGTCTGTGAATGGGAAGACATTGTCGCTCTCCTTATCACTTCGTATTCTTCTGTCTGTACTCTGGTCGTTTTCTTGGCTACCTGCGTATCTTCTGTTTTAGTGCTCTTTCTCTGTCGTCTTCGCCTCTTTTAGTCATTGTTGTCCTCCTTTTGTTTCTTTTCTTAGTAGTGTAATTGTCGTTCCCTCTTCATTCTCTTTCATGCCGATATCTCTACTCCCCTCTTGTTCGCTTGATCTTCCTCAACCCGCCGCTGTCATCTCCTTGTGTTCGTTTCTGTTGTGTGATTTGTCTCCTTTTGACCCTTTTTCCTCCATCCATGTTTCCAATACTGCGCCTCACCAAGCAGCACCAGTGCCTTTCTCACACAGCTCATGTTTGGTGCTGTCAAACGGTTTTCTGCACCCTAGTTTCAGCTGAGATAAGCGCAGCATCGTAGCGTGGAACATCCATTATCATCCTTTTAACCCGTCTTCGGAGCGGAGGTGCTCGTGCGCGTGGTGAGGACGCAGGGTCGCATAAGGGAAGGGAAAGCAAGCGATCGAGTGTTCGTGTAGCGGGATGATGGTGGTTGTTTAGGGGGAGGGAAAGGTGGGGAAGAGGCGTATGGAAAAGTGAGGAGGCGCCAGAGGGAAATCAGGAAAAGGCGGAGAGGAAAGGGAGGAGGCGAGAGAGCGAAAGAGATGGAGACGGGGGCGATGGATGTGTGTGTGAGAGAGAGAGTGTGTGAGAGAGAGAGAGAGAGAGAG